CCCGTGAATGACAGAGCCCGGCTTGAATTCTCACCTAATGATTTTTCCCCAGTGCCTGGGCAGTGCTGGGCTGGTGCTTCGGCTAATTCTGGAGCAAGGTCAGTTGGGAGTTCCTATCACTTTCTAACCTCTCTCAAGCCACACTTTATCCTGCCACTGTCTGTGCCCTTGGCCTCCCAACATGCTTGCTGGCCTCACAGTAGTGTGCTGCCTGCCCCCGAGGCCCGTTCTGGCCTCCCTGCCTTTCCACCTGAACAGACACATTGCCTGCAATTTTCTGCTTCTGATCTGTATGGCTGTCCTGGTGCAGAGCTTTTCTTTGCTGTCATTAACGACTCCCTTGTCTTGGCCCAGAGAAGCCCGCCATGCACCTTCCAAAGCCCACCCTGAGCACAATCCAAAGCGCCCTTCAACCATATTCATAAGTGACTTGGGGATTATCTGCTGCCCTGAATCACCTCGGCCATTGCTTCCCCTCTGTTACAGAGACTCACCTCGGACTCCATTTAATATATTCAAATGAGCAAAACATGTATCTGGAGAGTTACACTCAAATTAACACATCCCTCCAACTCTCATACACACACAGACCTGCCATTTCCTTGGGGACGAAGAGGGAGCTGTTTGCCCCATCTGTTCTCTGGAGACAACAACAGCTATTCAGTTCTGAGAAATGTCTAATGCGTGTTAGCGCACACCTATCCGCAGCCCATGAGACCCCCTGCATTGCCGACCCCCCAATCTCCGCCCCCGAGACACACTCTCCTCTCAGACCTTTCCTGGCACCACCTGAAGCAGGATTGAGGATTGAAGGAAGAAACAGCAGGATTCCAGGCCCTCCAGCCCCCACACCAGGGTGGATATTGAAGTCATTCAGGATGCAGATAGGCCTTCTGAAGTAATCAAACACATTTTTTAGATTTTCAGGGTAGTCATCCAGTCCAGAGCAAAGACTATACTAACTCGGAACACATGAGGGGATAAACACGGTGTTGATTCATGGCCCAGAACTCTTCAGAAGTGAAGTTCCAGCCGGCTGTGTCTGGGTGAAGAAGACATTATGCCTGGAGGCAGAGGATGCAGACTCAGAGGGCCTTGCAGGTCCCTCTGTGAGCACCCACAATCCTCGCATCTGTTTTATCACACGCCCCCCCACACACACCCCCTGCACTTCATGGTTTTCCAAGTCTCTCATCTCCATCCTTCCTCATTTCATTCTAGTCTCCCAGGTTTTCACAGTGACAACCTTGTACGCTCTTCTCTCTCTCACCTCCTTTATCCACACCCTCTTCTCTGATCCAAACCTTCAAATCATCAATGAGTGAAAGAAGCATGGGGAGAAGTCAAGGGAGGGGATGCGAGATCCAATCACTGAGCCTCACCTCCCACTACAGGCAGGCTGCGCTGGCCTTTTAGGGGTGGGGGAGGGAATCAGAGAAAGTCTTTCTACCTGCCCCAAGATCCTTTAGGCTGATGAATTGGGGAGTTCCTCAAGAAGAAACTTTTCACTCCCATGCTGAATGGCAGCAAAAAATTCAGACAGAAATAAGGACCCAATTGGCTCAGCCGGATCCTAAATACCAGTGATTTCCAGCCTTGTTACAACACCTCAGACTCCAATCTTCTCAAGGAGGGTTATCAGATTCTTAAAAGTGACTATCTTAATATTTTTAAGGGGAAAATATCACACAGTGAACTTTGTTTTCGTAGGGATGGCAAGGTTTTTCTCTCACCTACAAATCACAAAGAAACCAATAAAAAATAGAAACTGTTTTTCAAGGTTAAGAACTCCTGTTTTAGACATCATTGCTGAGCAAATCGGGAGGGCTGAGGGTGAAGAGATGCTCCAGTGCCCAGGAAGACGGGCGTATTCCTCTTCCCCACACCTCCAAAGAGGAAGTGAAAAAAAAAGTCTGTGTCCTTTATCTCTCAACCCCTTCCCTCAAGCCCTCTTATTAAGGGTCTGCTCCTAGAAACATGGAAATAAAAAACAGGGAGAGAAAAAAAGGGAAAAGGAACTGAGAAGATGATAAAAAGGGAAAAACAGGAACTGAGAAAGGATAATGAACAGGAGGAAAAGTCAGAGAGGTGAGCAGTCGGGAGAGGTGAGAAGGGCGGAGAACACGTGGGAAGAGAGCGCGTGCTGTGTCCTGGTCTAGAAGCAGGAGAGGAGCTTGCATCCTCCCCAGCACCCCTGCCGAGCAAGTAGCCCCAGCCCTACTTGCTCCTGGATCACAGGCAGCTCCATCCCCTCTACCTCCCAGCTCCCTGTGCGGACAGGACTGGAGCAGTGAGGCGGGAACTAGAGAAAGGGGGAATGTGACAGAGGACAGAGGAGCACAGTCAGGCCAGGTCTCTGGAAGCTGGCTCTCCTGGCTCCTGCCAGGAGGAGTTGAGACAGAAAGCAGCAGAGGGATACAGCAAGGGTGAGAGGGGGGACACAGGCTGCACGGAGAGGTGCTGCATGGTATTGGAAATAGCAGGACGGAATGGTCCATCCCATCCCCACACAGCAGAGGCAAGGCGTTTCAGTTCACCTGCCCTCCTCCCCTTCGCTGCGGATACCACCTGCCCCCACCCCTACCCTTGCTGCAGATGCAGAAGCGGAATTTCATAGGCTGCAGCAGCTGTGGCCAATACCTCAGCTCCCCACCAGCTTCCTTCCCCAGAAGACAGCAGCAGCAGGAAGGGGGGGAGGAGAGGGGGCAATAAAACCCCAAACCCTTTCATCTCAGCTGCCCCCATATTTATCAGCAGGCTCAATTCTCAGTGGCTCTTCCTCTCTCCTTGGCTCATAACCAAATAATCACACAAGGCTTTGCTGAGAAGAGGCACGAAGCTGTTGGGCCAGCATTGCCTTTCCCAGTCTGGGAGGGGGCATCATATTATTCGCAGAGAGATGCACCTGTTTCCAGAGGTGGCATGGGGTAGAACGAGCTCGTAAAGGGTCCCAGATTGTTACAAGAAAGATAATAATTTGATGGGGTTGAAATTAAATGTCCAAATTGAGGCTGCTTATGGAATTTGAAGGGGGTGGAGAGAACACGGGGTGCAGAGACCAGAAATGAGAAGAAAAAAAAAGACAAAGAAGGAGAAAAACACACACGATATAGTAGACAAAGGGGAGAAACCATAAAAAAATACAGACGCACAAATAAAGACAGAAGCTGAGAGAGGAGGGAGCTGGCACCTGGAAAGCAAGATGTTACAGCTGCAGGCGGGGTGGGGGAAACAGGAGAGCAGTGACGGCGAGGAAACAAAGGCCCGGGAGCCAAGGAGCTGAGAACCAGGCCCTTCCATTTGTGTGCCCCCAGCGTGTCCACGACTGCAAGCGGGGGAGGCCACGAGGGCCCCCACTCTGCTGGAGTAACAGACCCACCGTGCCCCTGTGGCACGCGCGCACACCAGTCGGCCCAGCTCTGCCTTGTGTGTTCCCCTGCCACAGGTCACACCCCAGGCTTGGGGAGCAGCTGGGCTATCCACAGGCTGTAATGGGCTCCCCTCTGCACACGCTCCTGTGCAAAGGGCGGGGGCTGCCTGGGGGCTGCCTGGGGGCTGCTTTCCCTTAACAGGCCAGCTTCAAGCTGTGTGCTCAGCCATCCAACTAAGCGCGGACTCCCATACCGTGATCCTCCATTTTCCCAGGGCTGTCAGGCTGCATCGATTTCACGAGCTCTGCAGCCCTTTAATGGAGACAAAAGGGGAGGCACGACCGGCTGCCCGGCCTTCCCCAGCACACTGAGAGGCAGGGACCCCGGGAGGAGAGCTATGAGCGATGGTGAGCTCATCCGAGCGAGTGCCAAGCGGCACACCCCGACACAGGGGGAGAGACAAAATCCACACACAGTTGTTTCGGAGTGGGAGCGGGTGTCAAAACCCTGGAGTTGTGCTTTCTGACAGGCCCAAGGCAGAGACGAAGTGGCGAGATGGTGAGAGAACTAGAAAGAGACCGAGAGGGACAGGGCAAGTAGTCCCAGGCATCAGAGGTAGGAAATAAATAATGTCCAGAAGGGTCTGGCTCTGAGGTGGACCAAATGGCTCTCCTGTCCCATGTTTATGGGGTCATGGACCATTAAACCAGCCAACCTACAGATGTCTTCATAAGACTTTACGAGATTAGACTGCAGAGACCCTATAACTCAGCAGCATGAAGGGAAAAAAGAGGGAGAATTCCAGATAAGAGATGGTGGAATGAGAGGGCTCAGCCTTTGGAGGAGGCACCCCTCAGTGGGAGGATGTCTGGGTCCTGGGATCCCTTGTCTTCGCTTCTCAACTCCTGTTTTTGTGCACGTCTCCATTAGATTCAGAACTGCATCAGGCTTGTATAACCCAATAAATTTTTGATTATCTTTTCCCCTCCTAATCCACCTTCCAATTGCAGCCCCCCTCCACCGTGACCCACAATCACTAGATCCTTAGAGAAGACAGTTTCTTTGGTTTTTGTGAAGCAAATCAAACAGATATTATATTTACCAACTCACAAATATTAGGGGATTTTTAAACCTGATTCAGATTGTCAATGTGATTTTCCACAAATTTTTTATTATTATTTTTTTAATGGAGGTACTGGGGATTGAACCCAGGACCTTGTACATGCTAAGTGTGCACTCTACCACTGAGCTACACCCACCCCCGGCCTTCCACAAATTGTAATAACCACGAGCTGACTTTCCCAGGGGTCCCTGGGTTGTTAAAGGTTAATGCTTATTCTCTGAGCCACTGGGAGCAGAATGGAGCTTGGAGCCCAGGAAGACATACAACCCGAAGGGGTTAAGGGAATGGAGTGGGGAACAGAATACACCTTCTTATTCCCTCAGGCCTGCGCCACCTTGTGGCTATTCACAGGAAGTCAGAGACCAAGATCCTTAGAAAAAAGCCCTAGTTCCCCAAATCTCCCTCCTCTTTCAGAAACACATGCGCAACTGCTGGCTGACGTTCGGGGCCCAAATTAAGTATGGAGTGTAAGACCCACATGGTCAAACCACCACTCAGGATCCGTATTTGAAAAGCAACCATTTATTAGAACCAATACAAGAGTATGAAAAGAGGGAAAAGAGGAGGGTGGAAGAGGGGGAGAGAATGAGGTCTGCATCAGATGTCAGTTGTGGAAACACATAAATTGCCTACTTTTAAACATTTACATTTAAAAGGCGAACATATATATATACCACTTATCCTAAAAAAAAAAATCGAAAGCAGACATGTTTGGCTGAAATAAAACCAAGAAACACAACCAAAACTCCCCCACAAACCAAAAAGGTCCATAGAGAACTCAGTTTCCCATGTTTCCATTCAGAAATCTGGCTACAAAGTGATTTGCTTTGCTCCTCAGGATGGTACAGAGCGCTGAACGAAACCCAGCCTCTTGAGTCTCTTAGATCCCATCCTGTGGGAAGGGGTGGGGAGGCCTATGGGCCATGGGTGAATCAACCCCTGGCTACTCGGCAGGATGTCAGACCATGCTCTCTCCATCCTCCAGGACTCCACAGAACCGCCTGGTGCCGCCAGTGCAGTGAAGAGAGGAGCTGAGTCCACAAAACACCGAGAACCGGAATGTGACCGCGGCAAGGGGCCAGGACCTTGTGCTTTTTCATAGGTTACACATCAGGGCCAAGGAGAGGGAGAGGAGAAAGAGCCCTATTGGGAAGAGGAGCTGGCTGAGCCCCTAAACTGAGATGGAGAGTAAGGCTCTTGAGCCCACACCTGGGCAAATAGAAATAGTGTCCAAAGTTTTCCCAAACCACAGGGGAAAAAAAGGTCAAAGTCAGGAAAGTTTAGACTGTGGACACTGAGAAAGAGATGACAGATGCTGAACACAGTGAATTGGATGAAGCTTTCAGGAGTATCAATGCCCAATTCTGAATGTTAAACATATCGCTAGAAAAAAAAATTTCCAATGTGGCTCTTTTTCGGTGGGGGATAAAGGAAGTGGTTATGTTTACTGAACCAGCTGGTTCCTATAGGGAGGTGGAGGCGGAGGCTCAGGTACAGATGCCACGAAGGGGTGAAGTGACCCAGCTGTCCTGGGATCAGTTCAGGGAGCAACAAGCAATGATACAAATCAAACCCACTGTGTGCGCTTTGCTCCTGCGACAGCCCAAGTCTGTTCCAAGCCCGTGGGGTATGGGACCTTAATTCCCAACCTGCAGAGAAACAAGCAGAGCATCCCAGATTCCCTAATCCAATGCTCTTGGGTCTCAAACGGCCTCTCTTTGTGGATGCAAGACATAGAAAATACTAAGTGCCTCCCCCTATAACATCTTAAGTAAATCTGGACTATTAAGACTCCAACATTCACGAAAACACTGTCAACATCTGAACTAGCAGCTTTGATGAGGGGTGGGGGGCAGAAAACTTGCCGAGGTCACTAAGGAGTTCCAACCTTGGGACAGCTCAGTGAGGACAAAAGCCTATGGTAGGCCTAGACTTCGGCTCAAGGCATCCTCCGTTGAGGACCCTAAAGTATTCTATCAACTTTGATTTACAATGCCTCACAACACCCCTGTGAGGTAGGTCAGTATTATTACCCCCATTTGACAGATGGGGAACTGAGGCATTGAAAGGAGTGACTTGCCCAAGGTCAGCCATTATGAATCAATTGAGGAGGTTGGCACACATAGTCAGCATCCACTCCATTCTTATTCCACGCCCTGGAGCATTTCACTTCTTAGAGTGCACTTGGGAACAAAAGGAAGTCAGTAGGCACACCTCCCTCTGCAAACTAGATGAACTCAATCAACCCACAACTATTAACTGATGGCCTATTACCTTACCTAGCATAATGCAAAGAAACTTGGAGAAGAAACAAACCGCTTCTGAAAGTCATCTGTTAATGGATGTTTTGAAAATAAAATTACATTTTAAACGTTAAGGGCATGAATTCTCTTGTAAAGAAATACTTTATCCTAAGAGGTGAAGGATTAAGTCACACTGATTTCTCAAAGTTCTACACCGACTAACCCAAATTCCTAACATTCAGAACGAAGCAAGACCACACTCAAGCAGAAAGCTAAGAACCATTTCCTCAGCAGTGCTCTGAGCTGCAAGGTCGGTGGGGAAAGGGGTGCAGGGATCTAGCACCACTGAACACCCTCCTGCTGCCGCCTGTCCCTCCCCACAACACTCGGGGGCAGCATCTTTCCAAACTTTCTGCCGCTGTTCCAACTTCAGGAGTTTCAGCAACTTCACAAATAGCTCAAAGTTAAGGATATAAACGATGACATCTACTTTTCCATTCAGGGAGAAGGTGTGAAGTAACTGGTCAGAAGACTCTTGTAATGTTCTTACCTCCTGCCAGCTACATAACTCTTTAACAAAAGAAAGGCAAAGGAAAAAAACACTCTTTCCCCCTCATTTGGACTTACACTGAATTCTGGTGGAAATTATTATGACCCTTATCCTAACTCTAGAGGGAAAAATCTAAACCCACAGCCAGCCCTGGTTTAGACTCAAATCCTAAAGCTACTAGAAACTGCAAAACACTGACTTGAGCCTTAAAAGTGCTGGACACGACGAAACTGTCTTCTCAGCTCATCTCAAAGACTCTCCGGGCAGGAAGCCCTCCTTTCCTCTGTGCCCTCTTTTAGTAGCCAGAGCAACAAGACCCTATGTACATCAGAAGCTCAAAAAATGATTTATCAACACACACAATACAATGCTCACCAGGAATCCTCACGTTCCAGGAAGGACCAATCATTCCAAGACCTAAATATAACCCTTTTTTCATTGATTGCTGATCACACTGGATAAGTCCAGGTGACAAGAAAGTTCAAGACTGATTAAAGCAGCAGTGACAGTTCTGGTTCAGTCTGTGTTGGAATTTCTCAAAAAGCATGATGAACAGGCCACTGGGACCTGGGTCAGCTGTGAGGGTCACACCTGCCAATGCCAAGGGACATCTCCAAATTTAAAAAAAAAAAAAAAGAAGAAGAGAGAGAGAAGATAAAAAGTTCATTGCATTCAATTTGGCCTAATTTCTTGATAATAGTTTCCTATTAGATTTTCTGATTAATACTGATGGCTCTTACCTAGGGTGTGATAATTAGGTTTTGATCTATTGTGACATTAATGATCACAATCAGTTGGCTTTGAAATTGTCTTAATTAATAGCTCTTCCCTTGTCGGCTGCCTCCAGTGCAGGTTGTCCCCTCCTCCACCACCTTGTTTTAACTCCTTCTCTTACTGACCTCAGAGACAAACAGCACTGGAGGATCACTTTCTGCCCGTAAACCAAGGTTTTAAACTATCTTAAAAGATTTCTCTGACAGGAGCAACATGAGATGACGATAGGTGAAATGAGGATCAGGATAAAAGGCAAAGAAACATGCTTTCAGTGAATAGGAAATATTCCATCTTAGAAAACAACCAAAGCCAAGCACAATGTTAAAGTGACAACGACAAGCTGAAGTAACTCTAAAATAAAAAGACAAGATGAGGTAGTTTAAAATTCAAGAAATCCAGCACAAGCAAAAAGAAACCAGAATGTTTACTATCCAAAAACCCTTCACACTTTAATTTTCCAACACAGTTATTTTAATTCTTGGGAAGTTTGACTTCCAAAGCTAGTCAACTTTCAATTATTCAACTCTCAATTACCCAGGCAGAGAAAAGGACTGTTTTCCTGTGGTCACATGGCCAGAACTAAGATCAGACTGTTTCTTAACAGGGCTAGCCCGCACCCTAGACCTCCCTAGACTGACTGAATCCCAGACTCCAGGGCATGTATATTTCTGGGAGAGGTTTCCACATAACTGAAACAAGTCTCTGCTTAGAAATCACCATCCTACAGTCCTAAAGAAAACTGAACTGCCCAGAATAGATGCCCAGGTGTTACTAGAAGTGTCCCGAGCCTTCACTTTAGCAACTCTTTTGTCACTGGAAAGCATGTTCCTCCTTTATGTTTTAGGCTTCAAGCCAGCCTCATGTAAATTCCTTCAAAAGGGATGAGAAACTGAAAAAGGTGTGAGCAACTCTGATAAAATATCCACGAGGAACACATTTTTACAGAACCTACAATAATGTAACAACACTGCCACACAGTTAATACTTTCCACAACCAAGGATTAACTATACCATTCAATACGCTGTCAAAGAGCCTAAAATAGGGAGCAAAACCAGGGTGTTGTTTTGTTGTCTCAACGTGTTGTTTTCTCTCTCAGTAACAGCATTTCTAACCAACTCTCAGTTATCTTTATTTCCTGGAATCAAACAGGTCCTTGTTGTGGCCCATCTATGGCCAGTTAGTTCAGTTCATCCAAGGTCATACGTCTTTTCTACACATGAACCGTCAATCTCCTACTCTAGGGCCACAAACTATACCAACCAGTTGTCTCTGCCCCAAATCTGAACTGTGTACCCATTTATAGCACTTATTACGCTGAACTATTCATCCCACACCAGTATGGAAATTAAGGTTAGGGACTACATCTTTTTAAACTTTGTTGAATGAAATGGACGCCAACGTACACTAACGTGGCTGGAATATAGGTGGCTCAATAGAAAGCCATCATGATTAACTGGGTTGGGGGGGGCACCCAATTTTGAGCATATGTTCTTGGGTGCAAGACTTGTAACATCTGTTTTTGAAAATATAATTTTTTTTGAAAACATAACTTTTATGATTAGTTATGCAAGAAGTAGAGCCAAAATGAAACTGGAAAACACCAGGTCCAGTCCTTTCCTCTCTCCACCTTGCAGCAGGTATGCTTGCTTGGTGATCTGATTAACAAAGGTACAGACTTCAACACTAAAAATTTTCACTCTAAAAACCTAAACCAAAAGGATGGAGTCATGGTTGCAAAATGAGCTTTTCCTTTGACCTAATTTGTGAGAAACAATTTCCACATGTCCAATCTAGTGACATAACCCTTCCTGGGGTTCTCATGTTGTTGCAAACTAGCATTTTAGGCCCTCAAATTTGAACTCTAAGGGCAACGACAATCTCTCACTCCCCAGCCCAAAGAGATTCCTCTGACTCCTCGCTGTACCTTAAGTGAACTGGGCAAAAACAGACCCAAGAAAATCACAAGATGAAAATCACAAGCATTTCCCTCAAGGCCCTAGGATTTGGCCTGAAGATAAGGGAAATGGACCGCAGGGAGGCCACGGCACAGGAACGAAGAGTTAAGAATAACCTACAATTGCCCAAAGTACAGGAACAGGCCCAACTTTTCATCAACAACAGTAGTACAGACATACGGCTGGGGGAGAGCCGAGGACCATCTAGACTTTCGAATGTTAAGGAACACCACAGGTCCAAATGCTCCCTTGAGCAGACAAAAACCGGACTGCAGGAGGGAAAATGATACAGACCTCTCCAGGTTAAAAATGGTGCTTCCATCAGGGCTGACGTTCTCGAACAGCTGATCTTAACGTGAGGCCATCTGCCCAGTCCAGGGCTTGGAAAAGCAGCTATGCTGACCTTGGTAGACTCTGCTGGTCAAAGCTCTGCTACAGACTGTGGAAGGTGAAATCCCTGAATGCTGATTACAGTAAGGAAGAAAAATTCAGCACTAGAAAGATGTTTTGAAAGAGGGCTTAAAACAGGAAAAAATAAACTGTGAGCACCTGAGACCTAGATGTTTAAGAGTGCTTAGCCCAGGACTCCTAACTCTTCTGAGAGGAGACAGCCCTGTGAAAACAGGTTCCTGCTTGAGGTTGCAACTCTCCAAGGGCCCAGACAGCTACTCAGCACTGACAAATGCTGGAGGCGCAGGCAGGTATCTGGTTTCCTTTCTGCTGAGGGCTGAGATCAGTATTGGCTGCTGGCTCCCCCCATTCCTGCAGAAGTCACTGTGGGTAGGCAGGGGTAGAACAGGTTGTTTGGACAGCACTAAATACAAGACCATGATTCAGTAAACTGTGGACAGAAAAAGATGAATGGAGTGAAATACTAAAGGGGTGGTGAGTAGCAGTAGATATTGGGGTTATTTTGCTAAAAGAAATCAGATCGTGATGAATGTCTTAAATATTACCTATATCCCAGGCAACCACGTGTCCCAGGTTTCTCAGGACCAATCTCAGTACCAAATAACTGTTGCAATCTTTGTCCACATGCTCGATTTGGGCTCCAAAAATATGACGGCCATAGTCTGCTTACATGCCTACTGCTCCTGGGGGACACACTGGCTATGTGGACACACCTGCAAACTGAGAGACCTAGTTCACCTCCTCGGGGGCTCTGGACCACTTCTGTCCTAGTCTGTATACCCTAACTGATATCCTTAGTTACTTGTATGAAAAATCTCTTTCCTGACCAACCTTTCTTTCTTTCAGATGCCCATCAGATTAAGCACCAACAACTGTCAATTATCCAACACTTGATCTAGGCCTTTAATTCCTTCAGAGAGTTAAGGAAGATGGAGATAAAACTCCTACCCACTTGAGGTATGGGTTATGAGTTCTCACCCAATCACATTACCATTCAGAAGGATTTTCCTGGATGGCTGAAACCAAAAGCTTCATTGTTCCAGTCTGTCATGTCACTGCAGCAACAGCTGTCTTCTCAACTGTGCACTATAATTTTTGACATAATTTATACAAGCACACAAAATTCAATCAGCAGCTGAGCAGGGAAGCAATGTTAACAAATGCTATGAATGGGTATATGATTTGCATATTATTCGGCTCATCTGCGGACTGGAGCAATCTCTCCATTCCCCTCATTACTCTGAATAATCTAGAAATGGTTGAACGCTCCTCGCCAGACAGCTATGTTTTAAAAATCAGAAGCAACCACAAAAAACAACCTCAATGGCTGGTGAACTCTAGAGTTAAGGCTATTTCAAGCATTTATTCTTTTTCCCTCAGCTTTGGGCTGGGACAAGGATGCTCAAAACCCTGCTATTTCCTTACTTTTAGTCTTAATTCTCTAGCCTCCTTCATCTACAAGGAAAAAAAGGGTGAAGAGAAGTAGGGCGCTTCTTGGGGAACAAAGGCAGAAGGGTATGATTGGAAAAATAACCTCTCAATATAATGGTAACACAGGAAGAAGCCAAAAGGGAACTATTTTGCTCAATTGGAAGAGAAGGTTGTGTCAACATGCTAATATGGGGAGCCTGTCACTCTCTGAGGTGATAGTCTTCCAAATAAATGCATTAAAAAAAAAAAGATACAACTAAGAGTTTGAGGGTGGAAAAAGGAAAGAGTATTACCACTTCGGGGAATCTTGGTGGCAAATCCAGGAGTCAACAAAGCAGGAAATTTATGATCACAAATGCTATGAATATTTAAAATTGATATTGTGGCCAATGGCTCCCCTCCAAGAATTCCCCACTGAAAATATTGGCATGGAGGGGAAATGGGTTCACTGAGAAGTGTGGGTCAGGTTCAAAGCCTCTTTGGTAACAGGAATGTTTTGGGAGGCCACCGAAGTTGGCAGGGTTGGCGGGTGCCTAGCACCTTGGCACAAGCAAGCACCAGGCTGCCACTCACACCTACATAAACACATAGTCCAAACAGGAGGGGTGGAAGGAAACAGTACAGATATACAGCATGTGACAATAAAGACAATTGTATCCTACCCTATCATCCTCATGTACTAACAGCTAAAAATCTCCACAGTTAATAATCTTGTCATTTTATGACAGACTACACCAACCTGCAGAAGCAGAATTAGGGACTGCTAAAGAAACAAGGCCCAAAGTCCTGGGGCTAAAAGGAGTGCCTTGACAAATCTGAATGTAAAATTTCAAGTCCTCCAAAGGATGGAACTATTATGAGAGGATGGGTGAGGATGAACAACAGAGGGTGGCCCAGAAGACCACACCAGGAACCCTGTATTCTCCTGGGGAGAGCTGAATGAGGTTGGGAAAGCCCCAACAGGTAGGCAGTTGCTATTGGCTTTTTAAAAAGATGGGCAACATCTTTTCCATCCCAACATCTCAACACAAAGGCTAGCTGGTCATCAACATGTTCTAAGAGCCAAAGCAAGAAACCAAAATGAATCATCATTGTAACAAAATCCCCCATCTAAAAAGCGACCAACCTTGAAAAGATCAAGACTCTAAGGTGATTAAAAAGTTCAAACTCATCTTGAGGTCACAAGGGAGCAGAGGGAAGAGAGGAGGGCAAAGGAAAAAACTGTGGGAATTACACACAGTATGTAAATGCCTGGTCTTCACAGAGAGACACTTTTCATGAATCAGACCATCAGTTATGTTACAAGAGAACCAATACCAACATTTCTCCTGTGGAGCACAGTGATAAGCACATTTTTATGGATGTGTTTAAGAGAGAAGGGGATGGGTAGAGGGAGAGGAGGCAGGGAGGTGGATGTATTATGTACAAAGAGAAATGACAAAGACCACCCCCTCCTTTAGCTCTTTGCTGTTTCTTTCTCTTTGTTTTCCGCATCCTCAGGATATGCATGCCACGTCAGTCTCTCTTCATAAAATGCTATCACAATCTGTGGACACTTAACATTAGCTTCTTTCGCAAGAACCAGGTCGGCTTCATCTGTGTCTTTCCTGGAGGGAAAGGGTATGAGACTTAGAACAAGAGGAAGTAAGAGTGAGAGAGTCTGTCCAAATACAGGTTTATGTCATTACATTATGATTTAGCTGACTTGATCTCCTCTTCATCTTGATTTCAAAGAAAAAAGGACCCTAAGAGTGCCACATTTTCAAGAAGTTTAAGTAAATGAATCAAATTATTAGTAAATATCATTTAACTACTACATCAGACAGAAACAGAAGACGTCAGCTAGAATAGATGGAAAACATGGCAGGTTTAATCAAAAGGGTGAAAATTAAACCACTAGATAAATTCTGCTCCCATAATTTTTTACTTGTGTGTATGAGCATGTGAACGAACACACAACCAAACCTACATTCAGCCCTATTGATTATGCATAAATTGCTCAATCCAGTTTCTGGATCATCTGGATCATGAAAGGTTCCTAACCCTCCTCCATCTTGTGGCCTTTTAAACACTCATCCTTTTGGTCAGAACTGTGGATTGGAACAATAAGAAAACAGAAATTTAAGTCAGCAACAGTACTTAGATAAGGGAGGCTGAGGGAGAATGTAAAATCTAGTCACTAAAATGAAATGTAGGAATCAGCTGCAAATTTCTATTACCCAAGTTACGCAGGCTCTATTATAAAGCATAACACCAAGATCTAGCAAGTCCTTTAAACAGAGTTCCAAACCAAGAAAAAAAGATATTTTAAATTAAAATCTCCACTGAGGTATGAGCAAAGGCAACTACCTCCTTTTCTAGAAAATGGAGATGTTGAATTCACAGATGTTAATTATTACAATGAGAAGAGGGAAACACACAACTTAGAGCAGACACCCAAATTTGGACTGTGGTGGAGAAAGCTAGTTAAATATGTGAATGTAAATCTTTCCCACCACATGTGTCTGAGTGGGAAAAGCAGTCAATACAGCTACTTACTCCTGACAGAGTATAGTGATTCTTCAAATATAGGCTTCTGGGTAATTTACCAGCAAAACTTCGATCAGATAAAATATTAAACCTCTTGACTATACAACTTTTAAGGTAATTAACTTCCTTCGTGGCAGTGTAGAAAGAACCCTCTATTTAGAAAACAAAATTAAATTGTAAGCCCAGAACACATGGAAACAGAGAGGTCGTGAGGGCTTCACCATAAATCACTGTCTTTAAGAAACCAAATTGAGGGGAAGTAACTATGCTTTCCTCTAAGAGCCATTCTCTCTTTACCGGATGAAATAACTTGTGCTTTGGCTAGTACTATTCTTAATGCTTTTTGTTAAGATTATTTTTCTCTTTTAGACATCATTCCGTGGTCTTGGTCCTCAGCGATGGCAGAAAGCCTCACTCAGCTCCTATCCCGTGGCCATAGGCTCATGGTCTGACGGTAAATGATTCAGAACTGTGTAAATAAATGGTTAGCTCACGTTTATACGTTTCCTACCTCAAATCTACCATTTTCTGGTATGTGGGCTAATATAATATAATATAATTTGGCTTAATATCAAAGCTTCAGAATGTCTTAAATCCATTCTGAACCATAATTTCCATTTAATACCAACAGTTGGTATCAGCTAAAAAGATTCCTGACAATCAAAATTCTTAACTGGGGAATACTCAGTCTTCCCTCACTATCTTCCATACAAATTCAAGTCATTGGCACAGAAATCCAATTTCTCTCTCACCATTTCATTAGGAACATTAAATCGCCACAGGAATCTGTCGCCCCAATGATCTTTTCTGGTTCCAATCCTCTCTCAAAGCCCCGAGCGATATCATTGCTCTGCTATAAATAGAAGAGGAAGAAAGGTTACAGCTTGGAGATAAGAATAAAAAACCTCATCATTTCTCAACTCAACAAAGCACAGCCTAAGTTAATATCGCTGGATACCATTTCTGTCACCAATTCATAAAATTCTTAGAATTTAAGAAATACAATACTGGGTCAGTCAGTGACAGTGATGCCAACAGATATTTTTGTAGGAAGATGCAGTTGTCCTTCCAGTATTCCTTCAAAGGATTAGGAGTGGCCCCTAAAACTGTTTAATTTCCCTTAAAATATTCTGAAGTCACCATCTAGGAACTCCTCTAGTCCCCTAATCTAATCTCTTTAATACTATAAATTGACTATCCCTGAATTGTTGTTTCTGTCCATGGTTAAATAAACCAAACCCTTTTTCATTTTATGAACTTCAAATATACCACACCTCAATCTTCATTTTCTTAGACTTTTAGTTCACCTAATACTGATCAATATTTTTAATACTTCTTTTCCCATAATCATCTATACTTATGAAAGAACAGAATTAGAATGATTCAAGGCACTACCATAAAACAGCAAATTTCTTTCGGAGCTCACATACTGTAATACTCACACACTTGAGGAAGGGGCCTTGGTCTGTGCCCCCCACCCTATCCCCTCCCCTGCAAGTGGATGTGTTATTAGCATTAGAGAGCAGAAATGGACAGTGATTTAAAACAAACTGATAATTCTGTAGAGGACTATTCAAACTTGGTCAAATTGCAATTATGCAATCTAGGTAAGGAGCACAGGGTCTGATTCAGATGTGCTGGTACTGGTGAGAGCAAAATGGTGAAATTTTATACAAACTTCGTAATTTTAAAAACCTGACTACGGAAAATAATGCAAGCTTTTCTAGTGGCAACAACAACAAAAGATTTCTAGAATGACTGCTCAAATGAACTAAATCTCTGATGTCTGATTTTCATAATAAAATCTCTTTGATCTGACATTCACCTTGCTTTCTTCTGAGAGATACAAAGCACTCAGGGTCCAGGTGGTCCCCAAAGATACCGGAACCCACTGGGAAGGAAATTCCATGCATGGATCAGGGGACATACAGACTCAAAAACATAGCCTCTTTTGGGGGCGCTTAAAGGGAGGAGGTTCCCAGATGTGCACACAGCTGCTCACAGCTGGAATGCTGGCGCCCAAACTGAGTTGTAAATCATAGCTGGCGGCTGAAAACAGTTTGCCACATAGGGAGGGAAGGGAAGAAAAATGTTCAAGCTGCTGAAAAGGAGCCGAAGCGAGGAAATGCTAAAATCATCACACAGGCAGTAATCTTAAATCAGGCATAATGCCGACTAACAAATTTCTTCTGCAGTGGTCTAAAGCAAGAAATGCAATCCCCTCCTGCACCTTTAAAACATACAATCACCTATCTTCCCAGCTGCCTACCTGACAGCCGCCAGCACTGCTGAGAATGCTGTCAGGGGCCCCAGATAAACATTACAATATAAGGGACATGTGGGGGTGGTTTTCAAGGTCAGCAGCATCAGAACCTGGCCTGGGAATGCAACCCTCTGCACTGGCCAGTGGCTCAAAGCCAGACTGCTCCTGTTTAGAAGGACAGAAACCTTAGGTTGAAGAAATACACACTATTATGTCACAATGGCTACAGAAGTCTTATGCTGTGTTGTTTTCCAGTCTCTTTACTTAGCTAGAAATGAATCAAATGACAAAAGCCAGAATACAAAAGACTAATGAAAGAAAAAAGAAAGAACCAAGTCCTAGCTCCTTGAAGAAGGGAAAGCATTCTCCAATTATTTACCTGTACACTGTGTCATAATGATAGACACCCCTCACCAGAATAGGGCAGTTTTAAAAATAAGATTGCAAAAACTAAAATTAATCAGGGAAACTAATAAGGAGGCAGACAAAAACCTAGAGTGCACTTTCACTGGTAGCCTCCAATCTCCCACTCTTATTTCAATTCTTTTTGGAATTCTTTTTCTCTCTCCATAGAGAGAAAATGGAAGACCAGGAATCACTTGTGTAAGTCTCTATAAAATGCTGATGCCTAGGACCAACCCACAGAAATTTGAATTTAATTGGTCTAGGGTGCGTACCTTGGGGCACTGGAGGGTTTTGATGCACCCTCCTCTCCTCATCCTCTGCTGTGATTCTAATGTGCAGCCAGGGCTGAGAACTAATGCTCTAGAAAGATGGGCACCCAAGGAGAATGAAGATAATAGGGATGCTTATGGCAGTGATGCTAGCAGACTCAAAAGCAGACTTATGTTTTTATTTTATTAAACTTTAAGGGTATGACACATTTTCGGCACAAAAGGCTTCACAACCTTGAAATAAATGAAAGGAATGGAAGCGAGGGGAGTGGAATGAGTATGTGTATTATGTGTACACAGATGGACACGATACAGATGAAAAAAGAGGCAGTAACAGTGCTCATGGCTAGTTACCTGAGAGCTAAAGATCAGAAGGACTAAAGCAACTGAATCAAACCAAAATTTCATAAACACACTGTCCAAACTGAATAATAAAGGGATTCAAAAGAAAGATGAAAATTAATTAATTTGGAGTATGTAAAAAATAAAAGGATCAGAAGAGAATATACATGCCACTGAACTGTACACTTTAAAATGGTTAATTGTATGTTGTGTGAATTTCACCTCAATTAAAAAAAGGAAATAGAATATAAAGGGTTGAAAATAAGTGCTATCTTTGGAACAAAAGAAAAAAGTGAAGTGGTAAACATTTTAAAGCGCCCTTCTATCCTTAAAAAATTCACCAAAGGCTCATCCTCTCTAAGATAACTTAGCCACCTATTCATGGATAAGGCACAGAGTGGCTGAATGTTTTATAGGGATTTAATTTTGCCACTTTACTACAATTCAGTGGACACATTATGATGTTTCTCACTCAGCCAGGAGAGGGTGCTGTAGGTAATCAACATTATCTCCCTAGGAGCTCTTTTGTTCAACAATTTACCTCGGAACAGAAATAACCAAAATAATGCCTTTTGGCCAGGGGTGAGGGTAGGGGGCGGTGCAGAAGAACAGTTTGTGGGGAAAAGAGGGAAATAAAGCTTACCTCTCTCTTTTTTTTGGATTTGATATCATCAGCACTGTTCGCGAAACTGGATTTCCTCTTGTTACTTTCTGACTTCTCCCTGGGTTTGTTATTTTCACCCTCCTTCATTTTCTTATACTTTTTCATAAACTCGGAAATTAGCTCAGGGCAATCCAAATTTTTCTCAGGCTCCCAAGTATTGTGCTCCCTGGCCAAGAGGAATGGAGAAAAAAAGGAAAGAAATGAGTGGGGGGAAATCCAATGTCTTATTTTAAAGAAGACAAGTAGGCAAAAAGGGAAGAACCTTATGCTTACAGGAGGCAACAAATTTGATCCTAGGAATCTATCCAAGAGAATGAACAACTATATCCCCCATAATAACTTGCACACAATTATTTACAGCAGCATTTTAATAGCCAAAGACAGAAAACAATTTAAATGCCCATCAACTGGTGAATGGATAAACAAAATGTGGTACATCCATACAATGGAATACTATTTAACAACAAAAAGGAACATAATACTAATTAATACATGCTACATGATGGAAGAACCTTAAAAATATTATGCTAAGCGAAAGAAAACAGATACAAAAGACTATACGTTGTCTGATCCCATTTATACGAAACGTCTAGGAAAGACAAATTTTGAAACAGAAAGCAGATCAGTAGTTCCCTGTGGCTGGGGTTTGTGATCAAATACAAATAGCCAAGTTCAGAAGAATTTGGGGAGGATATGGAAATGTTGAAAAACTGGGGTGTGATGATGGTTGCACAACTCTATATATTTACCAAAAATCACTGAACTGTGTATTTCCAATAAATGAACTTTATGGTATATAAATTATACCTCAATAAAGTCAAATATAAATTCTGCTTTGTAAGTACAAAATAAAAGTTATTTCATACTTATAACCATCTATGCAAATCCTGAAGAGAGGATTTCATACTTTTAATCATCTATGCAAATCCTCCAGCTTATACTGTCTTAATGTGTTACTTATATTTTGGAGAAATATCAACAAATTATTGGAAGATTGAAAATAGTTAATTAGAAAAAGCAGTAAAGGCTTAAATCTTTAGAATACAGGCAAACCATGAGAAGGAGAAGACTCAAAAAAGTAGAATCTGGACTGCATTAATTCAATGCTCTGGATTCAAGTCTACTGTCACTAGGTGGTCAAAATACATTTTTATATTAATAAGCAAAAACAAAAAGAAACTAAGTAATTGGGTCTAATTAAACTTGGATCAATGGACTCCTATTATGAGGAAAACAAACAGCTGGTATTCACAAAGTTGTTCTGTGTATTTCTGGCATAGGTTTTAGGAAAGCAAACCATCAACTACACAGTAGCTTACAGAATCAAAGCAAGAAATGTATTTCCATGGGAAAAACTAGACCAGGCATCCTCTCTACTCCTAGCCACTGGCAGAGGTTCTTTGGGTTATATAGTAAGAACTAGCTTTATTTTATTTATTTATTTTTTAAAATGTAGGTACTAGGTATGGAACCCAGGACCTTGTGCATGCTAAGCATGAGCTCTACCACTGAGCTATACCCACCCCAAGAACTAGCTTTATTAAGATACTTCTGTAAATATATCATAGAAGCAGTTTCTATGATTCCTTCATTGATTTAGGAAAAAATGTTTAAATTTATATACTATTCATTTTAGATATTTTATTGCTTCTGTCTTTAAAATAAGATACCTTTAGAAAGGAACATTTTGAACAATGCCATAATAACTCAAGTAAAAAGAATGATGGAAAAATCTGAGATATTTACTCTAGATTTAAACTTCCTGCAAAAAGGGTTAAGAATGAGACAAAATTTATTTCTAAATCATTTAAGCTAAAACTGAAAACCCTCTCTTTCATAGCACTTCTTCAGGAGGAAGGAAAAAAAAAATTCCTTATACAATAACCTCCCAAATCCACAGACTATACATATAGTTTACTATCCCAGAAGAAATTAAGACACCAAAATCAAGAGACATGCCAACACTGTAGCATAATAAGCAAGTAGATGTGGAGGTAGGAGAGAGTTTCTGTTGCTAGCAAAGAAAGCCAGTCCTCTAATGGGATTATCCCTTTTCCTACCATATTGGTATTGCTATTTCTACGTCAATCAATTTTCACCCAAAAGACAGCATGGTATTATTTTTAAAGAATCTGGGCTTTAGCGCCAAAGAAATCTGATGGCGAATCCTTGTTTCAGCACTTACCAGTTATGTCATCTTTGGCAAACAACTTAACTAATTTCCTCATCTATAAACCAAAAATACCTCTTAAAGGCTGTTACGAGAATTCAAAAAAATGCATAAAGTAGACTCTGATCACTGCCTGGCAAACAGTAGGTACTTAGTGGTAGACAATGCTAAAGGGACAAAATCTGTTCCAGTCTTCAAATGAAACCCTGCGTATTTCTGACAAATGCTTAATCCACCTACCCTAAACCTTTTCTTTCCCTCATTTATCGATGTAAGGTACCAGCACCTCAATTATAGATGCAGTTTTGAAATTTTTCAAAACACTCAACAATTTTCAATGGTGATTCAATGGGCCACATAAATACCCTTACAATCTTTAGGTGTATTTTAATTCCGATTTCACAGTGCTCAAGGTCTCTCAAACTCACAGTTCTCATCTCTAGAGGATGTTGTGATCTTTAGAAAAAAGAGGGCATATTCTGATTGCTGTGCTACCCACATTTAGTGCTCTGTGTGCTGAAAACCCTGCAGTGCATGAACTGTCCCACCTAAAACACCAGCAGTGCTCCGGATGAGAAACCTGATTCACACAGTAGAATAACCTTAAATATATTTCAAAGGCTCCTGGTCATACTTTTGTCCAAAACTACCGTCAAAACATTGAATCTTTTATTATATTTAAGTCCCACACTTTAAAACTATGATGTTCAATATGATAACTACCACCTACATTCGGTTAATGAGCACTTGAAATGTGGCTAGTCTAAACTGAGATGTACTATAAAATGTAAAATATACATCAAATTTTGAAGATTTAGCATGAGAAAATAATATAAAATTTCATCGGCAAGTTTTGTATTAATGTTGAAACAGCATTTTCATGTATTGTTGAAATACATTATTAAAATTAATTCCACTTTTCTTTAATATAACCACCTTAAAATTTAAAATTACGTATGTGGTTGGGAAGGTATAGCTCAGTGGTAGAGTGTGTACCTAGCCTGTACAAGGTCTTGGGTTCAATCCCCAGTACCTCCGCTAAAAATAAACAAAAACCTAATTACCCCCCACAAAAAAATAAAAATAGAAATAAATGAAATAAATAACTTAGTTAGCCCCTAAATAGATAAATAAAAATAAAATTTACATATGTGGCCTGCATTACATTTCTATTGGACACCACCACTGTAAGGAGCCTAAACCACTTCCTATCCCAGGGGTTCTGAGAAATCTATTCTTTGTTATCAGGCATCCTGGGAAGAGAATTAATGCGAAATGGAGGCAAAATGCCCAACGATTACACAGCTTCACATATATCACCTTTCAAGCTACCTCGCCTATGCTTCAATATGTATCTAGTTCTATTTATTCCAAAGGAAAGAATAATCTACTTTAGCATTTTAGCATGAAGTCAATCACTGCCTAATTATGGGGAGTCAACACTTCAGTATCATTCTTTTTGTTTGTTTATTTGTTTTGGGGGGGACGTAATTAGGTTTCCTTATTTATTTTTAAATGGAGGTACTGGGGATTGAACCCAGGACCTCGCGCATGCTAAAAAAACGCACTCTACCACTGAGCCGTACCCTCCCCCCACTTCAGTATCATTCTTAAAGCTCACTGACTTAAAAAGAGGGATTTTAAGGTCTTTACATAATACTAAAAAAAGATAGATTGATGGATAAAGGGATAGATGGATAGATTAAAATGTTAATTATAGAAACTAGGTGGGGTGTATTTGAGTGTTTACTCAATTTCTTTTGCCTCAGCTGTATATTTGAAAAATTTTAAAATAAATATTGGGGGAACAATGTGGCCTCAGATTTAGTACCTCCTTTAGATGAGTGCTTCATCCTAGGACACTTTTGAGGTCCAAGGATCATTATGGAAAGGTATGGGCTATGAGATCAACTCTGACTTCTTCTGCTTAAACATATGTATTTTAGCTTAATTATATCCAAAATAATATTAACAATAATAGTTTATACTTACACTGAGCTTATGTGTCAGACTACACAGCTACCCAACATCTCTAGGATATACACTATTTCTTACCCTTATCTTACTGAGGAGGAAAAAGATGAAGGAACTTCACTGAAGTCACCATTAAGTGGTGGAGCAAGAATCTGGACCCTAGCAATCTGGCCCTCAGGCTATGCTCCTAACCAGTTCATTTTACTGCCTCTCAAAAGCATTCTCATTAGAATACCTGCTCAAAGAAGGGGGAGACTTTGTTTAGTTTACTGCTCTGTCTTTGAAAAGACAAAGATGGTGATGGCTCATGGGCAAGTAAACCAAAGGTGTCTATGTGCACAGAGTCCCAAAGCCTCAGAGAAGGCACTTACTCGGAAAAGCCTTTCCACTTCAGTAGATACTCCACTTGCCCCTTAACCACACGCCTATCTAGCACCTTCTCCACGACGTACTCCTCCTCATCCTCTGAAGAAGAACTGTCAGCTGTCCGCTTGGTTTTCTTTCCCATGTCTCACGCTGTTCCACCTGAAGGACTAAGGCCACCGGGTTCCTGCAAATGGAAAGGGCAAAATAGTCAGAATCCACGTAAGCAGTTAAAACTTTCTGTCTCTTCTTGATGGGATGTAGGGTATAACACAAAGTCACCATGTACCCTTTTCTTGGGTCTTGAAGCATTCTACAGATGAGACCTAAGAATTTAATCAAAAATGGGTAGATCCCCACTTTACCAACCACAACTTTCTCCTCAGCTAACAGGATGTAAATTATTAGATGGCACAATTATCTAACTCCTCTAATTTCAGACTCCAAAAGACAAGTAGTGGGTGGGATTTTACTCCTGGCTACTCCTGTAACTGTTTACAAGCCAGAAACTCAAAGAGAAATATGGATAATCTTCAGTTAAAAGAACCATGATAGAATTCCTCCAAAGTCAATAAAGTTCTTTATAAAAATTGAAAAAAAAAACAGCCATCAAAATTTAACTTTCCTCTGCTCTGAGCATCTCAAACAGTCTCTTAGGAGCACAAAAAAGGCCTGCTCAGGCATCTTTCACCACATTTTCAGTGACTCGGTACATTTCCCTTAAACAAATTGAGCCTGTTCCTTCAGAGCATCCATCAGCTCACAAAAGCAAGGCTGACATCTCAAACACACTAAGCTTCCTTTTTCATTTAGGATGGGAGGGAGGCAGGGAGGAGAAAAACATTTTTTAGCCCTAAATATCAAAATTAGTCATTGGGTTGGTTCAGTAATTCTTAAGGTTCAATTAATCAAAATATTAAGGAGGTACCTCTCCTCTTAGCTGGAGTTGACTTTGGGCCAAAGGAAGAGGAGGAGGAAAAAGAAGTCTGGTCCCAGACTCACATCAACATGAAGCCTCAAAACACAGAGGAGCCATTCATAGGCCCAAGGAAAGCTGAAGCAAGGCAACACAAATGGAAATTGAGTTAAGCGCAGAAATATGCACAACCAGGGGGTACTCAACGGAGATTCTAGTTTTTTAAATTCCCACGTTGTTGTCACCATCATCATTTTTAAGAATTCTTCCCTAACCATGTTACATGGTGCTTAGATTCTGGATTACAGAGTAGCCAGAATTGTTTGCTTAGCTGAACTCCATTTTCATTTTTCTGTAATCTTTAAAGATTTTTGTTTTTCAGCACTCTAAAAATATTTCCATCCTGATCAGAAGACCACCCCCAGGAGTAAGGAAGACCACTAAAAATCTAAAAATTTTGTTCAAGTTGAGTAGTATAAAAAGTTGCATTTATCAATTTACTTCAAATCAGCAAAATGTGGGAATTATTCCAAGAATATTTATTTGGAAACAATACCTCTAGAACTTACTAGCAATAGGTCTGCCCACACAAAAAACTGTCTGTACTCATTACTGCCCTGTAATAAAACTATGTTTTCATTAAAATGCTTTATTTGGAAGACTGGGTGGGAGGGTAGGGGAATGTAGGGAGGGGGCTTCAAAATAATTTTTCCATGAATTGAGAAGAAGGTCCTAAGCTTCAAGGAAAATAATCTGATCTGATTTATTTAAAATAAAAGCAGCCTCCAACCTCACCAGAGACAGGAAATGTCATATTCCAGGGAGAATTCCCCACCCCCACCCCCACTCACCTTGGAATTTCCGGGAGCTGAGCAGTTTAGGTCAGAGCGCTGGGGTTAAAACCAGCCCCGGGTTAGATGCATGCAGTTAAGCATTGTGGCTATGGCCTCCCCTGCCTCACGAGGAAAAACAAGGATTTACATATGTGTTCTTCAGTTTGAGGGAAGAAAGAGGAAAATCTCTCTTTCTACCTTCATGCAGATCAGGAGCCCCAAAAGTAGAAGATGAATGGGGGTTCCCTCCTTTACCTACCGGATCGCCCCAGTTCTTTCTTTCCCTCTGGGCTAACAGGAGGGGCCTCCCCTCCCAGGTCTGGGGCTTGGCGGGCTGGCAGCTCCCCCGCCCCCACCCAGCTGCCTAGGCGCCACTGCGCAGCTGTCCCAGTCCGTTGCCATGGCAACTGGCAGCAGCACTAGACTAAGGGGGAGAGAGGCAAACGGAAAAGTTAAAAGGCTTAACTTTCCTTTTCAGTGAAGACTGGGTGGAGAAGTTGGAAGATACCTCCCTTGGCCTCAAGGCCAAGGCATTCAGAGCTCTGGGGAACTGGTTCTTGGGTTTTAAATCCAAAACTTGTGCTTATTCCTCTAAGAGCACAGGGAACTAATCAATAGCATTTTAAAATCATTTAACAGGATTATAGCTCAACTGGAAGGTGGGGGGCAGGGAAAGGCTAGATCCTTCTACAACAAGATCAGTACAAATTATCCGCCCCCTAATCCAGCCCACCAGCAGCACTTTAGACAAGGCTTCTCCTACCATCTGTCACTGAACAGTTAAAATTGCTTGGAGGGGGGAGGGGGTAACAGAAAAGGGGGAAGGGAAGTATTTCAAAGATACTATACAACTTTCCTTCTTGGGCGATTACTAGATCTAGAAACAGAATCGAGAGACTTGAAGCAATACCAAAGAACTTTTAAACCGAAACTCTAGGTAGAAAAAAAATGTTAATCCTTAAATAGTTTTAAACAAGAGAGGGGAGGGAGCAGTCCAGTTACAACCATTACTGTTAAATTAAAACCATTTCTCATTAGTCGTTCTTATGTTATAAAACAGTTTTAAATAATACTCACCTGGAACATTAATTTTACAATATAATCATTAAAAACTCCACATATTAAGAACCCCTGATAGTTGAGAAAAGGAGGATTGAGATAAAGAGATACTTAAGAGACTTGCAGTCCCATGAATTTTCCTTTCTCCTGGCCCTAAAGAACATTTTAGAGAGCCCCAAACCCCAGCTCTGCTGTACAGATAGATGCAGGTCTTTAGAACCAGAGAGAGGTTGGTGCCATAGAAGAGTAAGAAAAAGGGACAATCAGTGGCAAAGAACTCGATTAAGGAAAAAAAATTGATTATTTTGGTTATCAAACAGGAGAAATTACAGAGTATGAGAGCAAAGTGGACAGTTTTCAACTACAGAGGATTTCTTTAACCTTGAGTAGATCCATCAGGAAATCTGAGTAAAAGCAGCCTTTCTCGACTCTTCGTAACTTTTAAAAACTTTTCGTGGTTAAGGGATATGAAAACAATGCCAAAGGAATTAGATCAGGGTTATGGTTCTGTGATTAACTTGCCATGTGTGATCTTGAGTAAATTTTAGATCTAACCGCAGAATCACTAAAATGTGCCAAATAAATCCCCATTGCCTACCTCCTAGGGAAAGAGTGAGTTTATGTTGAAACCAAAGGTCTGCTAAGTCCCCCAAAGAGAACCTTTTGTAAAAATATTATAGGGCCTAATACAACAGCAGCAGGAAATACGTGACCTTCTAAATTCCTAAGCCATTAAACCATATCATATGCAGTAGTAACTCCTGCAGTTCAACACGTTAGACAGCAAGAAAGGAGGAACAGTGTCTTTGTTAACTGGCGCTAGCAAACTAATAAACCTTCGGAGAAAAAGCAGGTACCTTTTCTCCCAAGGGCAAAATCCTTATTCTTACTCCTTAAAACTCAGAAAAGCACTGGAGATGGCAGAATGGAAAGACTAATAGCAATTGTGTGAAGGGATAAAGGGCAGGAAAGAATGACAGCAATACTAACATATTAGTGAAACCTTTTAGAGAAAACAAGTGAATTCAATAAGGAAAGGAACACAAATATTCTGGTGTTCATCCTTCTCTCTAAAACATCAGGAAATAAAGAGCCAAATCAGTTCCCTTCTTCCCACTCTTAAAAGGCACATGGCTAAGATCCCTTTCTCTTTGGGAAATGGGTTTTGTAACAGCTGACAAATCAAATTGGGCCTGATGCCAGGAGTCAGAGTCCAACCATAATATTCTGTAAAGAATGGCATGCAATTGTCTTATAAATCTCCCGGACAGTCACAGATCAGAAGCTGGCAAGGATGACGACATAGTTCTGATGGAATGTGTCTTATCTTAACCTTGAAGTTACAGATCTGCTCAGGAGCAGCAGTAAGAAATGAGAAATGCACTCAGACATCGGAGGGGACATAATTCTCTTTTAGACAGTGCGACCCAGTGTATTAGGGTCAAATGAAACACAAAGCCAGACGGACAATTTAAGGGCTAGAGCCTGGACCAGATAAAGCATCAAGACTGGTGGTTCGTGCTGAGCTTGGGACGAGGGAGAGGTCCAGGGTGAGAAATGAGACGTGGCTGGCAGGATGATGGAGTGATTAAGGTAGAATCCCGATACCATGACAGAGGAAGAGAGGCTGAACCTCTGAGCACAACCTTATTATCCTTGTGGAAATCTCCATGGGAAGGGGTGGGTAGCCCCTCAAGTTTCTAGAGTCTTTCAGACGTAACAGCTCTCAGCCTTTTCCTGAACACACACAGGAACTCTCTGGTAAACGCATCAACAACCACAGACACAGGCCAGCAATTTAACTGCCCGTCAGATCACGAGAAAGAGCAGGCCCCACCAACCTTTCATATCAGCAACACAAAGCAAATTCACCTTGCAGGCCTCTGGGTGCTAGGGAAAAAACACCTAAATCGGGGATCTGGTGAGAATTCAGCCTTGGACAAACATCAAAGAGCTTTGTGGTCAGGCACAGTCAGAACCCACATTCCAAGTCGATGACAGGAAACTTCTTTAACAGATGAATCTTCCAGAAAAAAAAAGGGGGGGGTGGAGGTGAGGAGGTGAAGCAGAGAGGGACCAAAAAAACTCATACATTATAAGAGTAAAAGAAAAAAACAGATAAAAATTGCCAGTCCCCAGAAATTAGAGAGGGCATTCCAGAAAGCTGGGGCAATCCAGAAGAACAACAGATGTAATGATTAGGTCTCTGCATTACCAATCCATCCTGGAAGCATGGAGCCACCCACATGGAATTGCTGGTATCGGTCTGCTCAGTCCAGTTCAGGCTCTGCTGTGGTCCCTCCAGTTACTACTTTTCAATGCCAGCTGTCCTGGTGGCTTTTCTTAGATCTTGGTGTAGCATGTGTTTTTTAAAATCACTACTTAATGAGCAAAAATGTGTGTGTGTGTGATAGAGAGAGAGAGAGTGAGTGTGTGTGTGTGTGTGTGTGTGTGTGTGTGTGTATATATATATATATATATATAAAATATAAAAACATAATTCTAAAACTTTCTCTAAGCTTTCTTTGTATTATTTAAAAAGTAATGAAACCAACTGCTAAGTTGCCTCACTCAACTACCCACTGATCTATCTGGAGGGGGTAGTCAGACCAAATGTCAAAATACAGAATCAATGAGCTCTGTCTTCATTTTAGAGTTTCAATATAAATTCTATAAGTCCACTAATAAGGCAAAATCCTCTACACAGAAAGCCATTCTAGAGTAGGAAAGGGCGAGGGCATATGCAAAGGTCCCTATCACGTGTATTAATTAAATATGCCGCTGATGGCTAACTTCAGTTGGTCCAGGCTTGAGAAATCTCCATTTCTCCCCGTAAGGCCCCTGGGGAAAGCTGGTGGCTTATGTGAAGATTAAATTGTCAGCTACAGCATTCTCTTCAAGGCATCCTCTTTATAGCCTTATTGTAGCAAATAAAACATGAAAAGAAACCAAATTTACAGAACCGTTTTAATCTGGTCTATGTTCTTTGCTCTTTATGGATCCAGAAGTACCAATGGTTTTAGGTTTTGTAACACATACAGCATAAAACTAAAATACCCTCTATAAAGATGTTTTCTTCCGCTAGATTTATGATTTCCAAAGTATTAGCCATGTGGCATTTTAACAGAAACACAGCATAGAGATGCACATTACAGCTGTCCTGGCTGTCTCAGGTTTTGTTAAATGGGCTGATAACTATCACTCCACCTCCACCAAAAGCCTATGAGCACCCAATTCAAGAGGAGTTAAAAGCTTTTTAAATGTCTATTTAAGAGACTGGATTAGGAAAGAGTTGAGGAAGAAGATTAACTGTGGTCGTTAACACCCCTATCATTAACAAGCCACATACAGACAACACAAACTTTATTAATAGAGAGGAGTGTGTAAAGAGGAAATGCTCTCCCTTGGCTAGCACGGCTCCAGCTTCGTGATCCTTTAATAATCAGGCCAAGGCACTGCTTCAACCAGTCACAGAATTATTCTGGGGCAAAGTATCCTATTTGTTGATTATCTCAGCCTTCTGCTCCAGCGAGCAAGGTAGTATAAAGCCTTTTGTTCTTTTAGATTAAAACATATACATTATAAATGGAGATAAAGGCTGCCTTGTAAATTTCAATTGGCTGTACTCTCCTCCAAGCTCTGACCACCATTAAAAGATACAAATGAATGTCTACTCCAGCAATCCTCAGAACTGCTCGCAGTTTTAAGTCCGGTTCACTGGTATATTTAGCAATAACACACAAATTCTTGGTATCTCATTACCAGACCACAATCCCACAAAATAATTTTACATGGGATTTTTTTTTCCATTATTCAAATCAACTGAATTTCTTCTCTCAAGGGTCAGTCCTCTCTGAATTTAGTTAGGTCACACCTAAACCCATCACTGAGCAAGAGGTCAGATATTCACTTGTTCCAACATTCATTAGGAAGTAGAATTTGGTACCTCTATGGGCAAATGTCTTCCAGACGGTGCCTTCCAATGACCCTCTCCTTGGAATGTAGTGAACTCATCTCAAAGCACCATTGTCTCTGGTGGGTGTTAATTTCACACCCACTCCTCTCTATTAATTAAATGTGATGAAACATGAACTAGTAGATCTTGTCACCTTTCATGAAGAACCTAGTGATTTCATCATAAATCTTAAGAAAAATGGGTA